ATATGTGTAGAATGTTACAATAATAAACTTTCATCAAGTGCTTTATGTGTGTATATGTGTGTATATGTAAACTGAAGCTCGTCTACTTCTGAAACCCTAACATCAAATAATATTCCTGAATAATAAAAGCAACAACCAAATTTTACTTATGTGCAAATTCAACAGACCTACAAATGTTACACAAATTCAACTTACTTCAGTAATTTGTGATTGGAGGAATTTTGTGTCATTGTCCAGGGTCCATATGCTTTGTTTCGTCTGGAAAGAAAGTATCAGTTAGTAGAGAAGTATTTACCAAACCCCTCCAATTTTCAACATGCCATATCTCAACTTTGATACTTCACAACACTTCAGGTACATAATGTGCATTACACCTTACACACATCATGATCTTAACTGCTCATATTAATAATTTTTAATTAATAACAACTACACAGTGTGCATGTGGTCATTCAACTTAAATGACTTATATGGGATACATCAGTAGTGAATGTAGAAAGTTTTGTAAGAAAATATGCAAAAAATAAATAAACACCTACTTTACAAATGGCATCTAAGGAAGGGAAAATAGAGGATCTGGAAAATGGTATTCTCCATTTTTTGGCCTCTACATTCCTTACCTTTTTGTTTAGTACATGCTATACTTTGGCCGATAACATTACATTTTGAAACCCCATTAGCATGTTATAGTATTTTCATTGAATACAAAAAGTCTCTTTTTTTCTAATTGCTTTTCTAAAAAGAAAACATCATCCTGTACTTTGAATTTGCAACTCTCCACTTGTCATGGGTTTCCTAAGAGAAAAGTCAACTTTGTAAGACATATGTGGGAATTTGTAGCTAGGGAAATCAGGTGACTACATCCAAACATGTGGAGTAGAAGTTAAGTCTAGTTCATAGATCCTAATGATTTCCAGAACAACAAAGTATTAGCAATTCTAGCAGGTGCCAACAAGCTTCTTCATAGTCAGAGAACAAACATTTCAGGCTTGCAGGCCACACAATACCTACCACAGTTATTCACGCATAGTATGTTAATGAGAAACAAAGACAATTAATTCTAACTAAATGAGCAGCTTTGTGCCCTAGAACTTTTTTTTTTTAAACTGAAAATCAGGTGGGGTGAGAGGGAAAATCCTTCAGTCTATGGAACTGTATCATGACAAATAAAACAGAAAAAAGAAACTGGTGGAGAATCCACTGTGTAGAGTTTGCCAAACTTTGTTTTAAAGCATTATAAAACAAAAAGGGTGAAATAACCCTATTCAATATAAAGTAATAACATCAAAATTAAATAAAATCAAGATTTCTTCACATTATTTGATATTGAATTCAAAATAACTGTGCAGTTAAAAAAGTTTAAAGTGATAATTTAAGTATTCCTATTGGATTTTAAATACATTAATATGGCTCTGCCATTCTCAGGCCTTCAATAAACTTATTTAAAATTGGAAAAAAAATCAAATGTTTCAAATGTAAAGCAGGTAAAAATAAAACTTTTTTAAAAAGCTCTATTGTGCTGCTAAAAAAAACACTTATTTTTCCTAGCTCTCTAAATTTGGCTAGTTTTATAGCAATTCTCTGACTTGAATCAGAAATACTGTACTGCTCCACTGGTTTAATTTTTTCTCTAGATTCAACTACTATAAATTTGCGAAAATTCTATCACAGTTTGTATTCAATTATGACTACTACCCCTGAAAATAAATGCTATGTCTTCTTGAACAGTAATATAAGAAAAAAACATTCCAAAATATCCAATTAGCTAACTTTTCTGGTATGTTACATAACGGAAATGCCTTCACAACAGGCTGCCATATCCCATTGTTTCATTTTGTCTACACATATACTCCAGGTTGAGTAAATGTGTTTGCTATTGAGTTTTCCTGTTCTGTTAGCAAGCCAAATGCCTTCTAAAATTCTTCTAATTTGTCAGCAACAATCTTAGCCCCAACTTTCAGAAGGAGGCCATTTGGTTTCTTTACCTTCAAAGCTTGTGCTTCATTTGACTCCTCAAAGCTGGAATCTTTCAAAAATGCCTCTAAATTCTCATTCTGAAACAAACCAACACTGTGAGCACAAACTATAAATTATTCTAATAAAGATTTACTTATTGGTTTGGAAGGCAGGGCTTCACACAGAGAGAACTTGTGAAAACACCTGTTTGCAATAGCCACATTAAAAAATATACTTGAAATAAACATAATGAAAAAATGACTTCCTTATAAAACGTAAAAAAATTATTAAAAGGAAAACATGAGTATGTTTTTTAAAATGTGAAAAAGCAAGTTCAAAAAAACAATATTCAAGTGGTTCAAAGATATATAAAGAAAGTCATTAGGACAACACAGGGTAAAACCAGAATGAGACAACATCACTCCTAACACAATGACCAAAATTAGTAAGAACTGTTAAGTGTTGAAGTGAAGAACAGCATAATGCTGTATTACACTCCAAATAAACTATTTACATAAAATTATGTACATAGTAATTACAGTTTCTTGGCTCTTTTTTATTTTGAAAACTGTCTTACCTTTTTATCCGCAAAGCTATGTTTGTCAAGTAGTTCACATTTTTCTTTTATTCGTCCACAAAGTTCTACAGCAAGCTTTTTCTTATTCACTAAAAAATATAGTAAACCGTAAGTTTTCTGATTACTCACAAAAAAATATGAGATCTAAAATACAGCAACAAAAAAGGCTTACCTGTAAAAATATGTCCCTTCACCTGAAACAAATTTTGAACAAAAGATGTCAAAGCAAATAAACATTTAGGTAAATCTAAGTTAACGTCTGCCAATGTAAATATTACAAATAATTTCTGCATGACAAATGCTCTATTTCCAATGAGAAAATCTACATGTGAAAGTCTTCCTATCAAAAACTTAAATTAAGTATTATAGAAACAGCTCTGAAATATGGTTTTTTTTTTTTTTGGTAAAGATTCCTTCTTCATTTCACTAAACAAATCTGGCACTAAAAGGAATATTTTCAGAAAACTATTATCACATCCACTAATGCTAACACTCAAAATACATATGATAAATATGATCAATTGGACACATCTGAACTGATTGTAAAGAAAACAGTAAAGCAAACCTGACTTTTCTTTGATTTTTATCAACTAATAAAATAAAAAAAAAATCCATTCTCAGCAACCCCATTAGGGATGGGGAAGAAAATAAAAGAAAACTTAATTCAGCTATAAAATATGGATTCAAATAAAATTAAATAAGGAAAAATAAGGTATAATAGAATGCTACAATGGTAAACTAGTGAACCAAAACATTACTTTGAGAAACTCCCTCAAGCTTAAAGGAAACAAATCAGCCCAACTGCTTAATCCTCTGCCTGCCAGCACTCAGTGTCCCAAATGGGTGCCAGATCTCACCATGGATGTTCAGCTTCCCATTCAGCTCTCTACTTGTGGCCTGGAAAAGAACTGAAGGATGGTCCAAAACCTTGGCACCTGTACCCATGTGGGAAACCCAGAAGAAGAGCTTGGATTCTGACTTCTGATCCACTCCATTCCTGCCATGAGTACACTTTGGGGAGTGAACTAGCAGATGGAAGATCACCCTCTTCTCTCCTTGTCTCTCTAAACCTGCCTTTCCAATAAAAATAAATAAATCTTCAAAAATTAAATAAATGAAAAATAAAAGGAAAAGCAATAACTGAAAAACATTAGTTCACAAAGAGAAAACTATTTTTTAAATGAAGAAAAAGTATCTCCATGTTTACAAAAAAAAAAAAAACAATCCTAACTCTGAGTCTGCAGAAGTCAAAAAGATACAGAAAAGGAATTTTATGGCTAGACACATTATATTTCAAGCAGAATAACAAGTTAAAAGACCCTTAAAGAGCCCTTATAATGCCATAGTATGTTATGCTATCATCTGTGATACCAGCATCTCATATGGACACTGGTTGTTCAATTTCAAATCCAGCTCCTTGTGAATGCAGAAGGAAAGCAGTAATGGGTGGCCCGTGTTATTGGGGCCATGCCACCCACTTGGGACACTGGGAAAAGCTACTGTCTCCTGTCATCTTTTGGCCTGTCATCTTACAGCCTCATCGGTTGTAGCCCAAATTTTGGGAGTGAACCAGTAGATGAAAAATTAACTCCCCTCCCTTTGTTCTCATCTCCCCTTCCAACTATGGCTTTCAAAGAAATCTTTCTTTCACCACATCTTTTAAAATTATTTTCTGTAATGTTATGTAAATAATGAAGAAATCACAGGCACATTCAGGGATAGATGTGCAGAATGAGCAAAGTGAGAGAAAGAGAAGCTTGTGTTTTTATTTATGTTCATCAGGAGAGAGTGCACCCCTCCCTGTTGCATGGCTCTCTTGACCCAGGAAATGGAGTGGCTGCATGATGTCACCCTCAAGTTCCACATGAAAGGAGCATATCTTGGAAATGGGATCAGTTTTTCCAAGAGATCAGCAGCTCCATTTGCAGTCCAACTCCATTATTGACTTGGGAAACAGCAAATGGTGGCTCAAGAGTTTGAATTGCTGGCACATATGAGGGAAGAAACAGATGCAATTTCTGGGCTGCATTCTGGCCCAGGTTTTAGTTATTACAGCCACTTGAAGAATGAACCAGTCATTAGAAGATTAATTGCTTATTCCCTCTACTTCTCTTGCTACTTTTCAAATACATAATGTTCTTTTTGTTTGTTTGTTTTTGTTAAGTGGAAGAAGTTAATAAACTAAGCTTGAAGGAACTAAGTACATCAATTATCAGTAATCGTAACAAACTTCTGAACTTGACCTACTGATGCAAAACAGCATGGTAAGATGGTCACAAACCAAAGGAGAGGGCCTGGGTTCAATCTCCAGCTCTACCTCCTGCCTCCATGGTCCTGCAAATACAAACCAACCACAGGAGGCACCAACAACAGTTCACGTATTCAGGCCATGCCACTCATGCAGGAGGCTCTGATTGGATTCTCAACTCCCAAGCACAGCTGGACCAGCGCTAGCTGTTGGAGGCATCTGAGCAGTGAAATAGCAGATTGGACATTTCTTTTGGTCTGTATGTTTCTCTGTGTTTCTTTATCTAGCTCTCTAATAAAGCTTTAAAAATAGAGAAAAAAGAAATGAAAGAATTTTGGTATTTTAATACTACAGAAAACTTCTACAGGAAATTTTTTCAAAATTTTGTACTTACAAAATTGTTGTGAATGCCTTTGTTTTTTGTATTAGACACAGAACATAAGTGATTGTCTTTCCTTAAAGCAATACACATTTCTTACATTAGTTGTTCTGCTTAAAGACAGGATGAACTTCTTTTAGTATAGCATTGTTTACTTACACATCGAAAAATTCTCCACAAAAACATGAAAATTAGAAAATATGCAACAACAGTTGCATAGATAGTCCAGTCCAATGGAAAACCACGAGAATTGTGACTTTTTCCAATATTTTCAGGTAGCGTAATCAAAACCTTAAAGACAAAGGAAATTAAGTTCTTAACACGCAATTTAGGCAGTAAGTACTGATTATAACCACAGTTACAACTCGATATAGCCAATTCCCTCATTTTCTTTTGAGGAAATGAAAACACCAAACAGAAGGCACCACAGGACACTTTTCTGCAAACTTCTAGCTACTATCACTCAATGATAAAGAAGTGCAATAGAGGGAAAGGCAATGATTTCTTAAACTGGAAGCATACAGATGTGCTCCCATAGCACCCAAAGGAAAGAACAGAAACAAAGAAGGCCAAAGAAAGAAGCTCACCGACCTAAGTTCCATTACGTTCTTTTTTTTTTAAACACCAATTGGGTTTTATATATAAAGCATACTGTATTTTACACAAAATATATTCCTACTGGAAAGAAAACATTTATCTGAAGCTTGCAAATGGACGTTGAGGAGTGGATTTTTTTGTTTAATGATTAAGATACTCACATTCCACAGAATTACCTTGTTCAATTCCCAGTTCCAGGTACTGACTCCAGCTTGATGCTAATGCAGACTATGGGAGGCAGCAGTCACGGCTCAAGTAACTGAGTTCCTGACCCCACATGGGAAACCTAAGTTGTATGCATGATTCCCAGCTTCAGCCTCAGACACAGCAGACACTCAGGGAGCAGACAAGCAGGTGAAAGCACTCTCATTCTCTGACTCGATCTCCACAACTCTTAAATATCTCAATTTCAAAGTTTAAAAACCAATGACAAGCTAGGGTTTAAAGTTCTGTTTTAAAGGACTCATTTTATTTATTTCAGAAGCAGAGTGAAACAGACAGAGATAATTCTTCTATCCACTTCCCCCAATCACAAAAGCAGAAGAAGCTAGGTCTGGCCAAAGTCAGATGTCTACAACAACATCTGGGTCTCCCACATGGGCTGCAGCTGTCCAAGCACATGGGCCAGCTTCTGCTTCTTTCCCATGTGCATCAGAGTAAGTAGATCAGAAGTGGAACAGCCAGTATTTCGGCATGGGATGGCAATGTCATGATTCTGGTCCCTGTGTTTAGATTCTGAACCCCTGCATCCAAACTCTATAGGTTTCTCTGATTATCTATGATGGGAATGAAACATTTGGAACACCCAAGTAATTGAGAGGGTGAACATTTTTTTTTTGCCCCATTCATAGTAGTCATGCCATAACTGTGACCTTGCAAATCATTTCTTCCCCCCACCGCCACCATAGGTCTTGAGCACAACACAGCTCAAGGCTTTCAACCTTGTTTCTGTGCGTCAACTTTCTCTGGGTCAGCTCATCACTCATCATCGCTCAGTAAGATCTTTCTGTTGTTTCTTTGCCAAGCCCCAGATGCTACTCTACCAAAAACAAAGGAGGCAGGGAGGAGAAAAAAGGAGAATAAAAATACATTTTAAAGAGTCTTCTGAAGCACAAGTTTAGTTCTTTCCAGGTTTCAATCCAAAATCTCTACAGCTAATGTTCACTTGCTAGGAACTTTCTTCCTAAAAAGAAACACCCTTTAATAAGTACTCTCGCCTCCAAAATCATTTTTCTAACTCTAATCCCCATACCCAGGTTGCTGTCTATAGTTCATTAACCTATACCAAATAAATAAACCTAATAGCTTTATATTTTTATTTTTTTGGAGAGACAGAAAAAGAACAACAACAACAACAACAAAAAAAAAACCAAACTAGTTTTCACCTAGCTTTTCACTCTCCAAATGCCTTTTTCTCCCTCATCCCTAATTAAAGCAATACTAATTTTAATTTCCAATGCTTAAACATGTCCTCACTCATTGTCCCCTCTCACTGCAGCTCTATCTTCAGTTTCGCTTCTCTGACATCTACCCTACCTCTTACCTAGGCTCAGGAAGGCCCAGGTCTAACTCCTGAAAAGGCTTCAAACAGCTCCCCAATGCCAGCCAGCATGCCAACATATCATCAGTTCCTGAGCCCACTCTCCACTAACACAGCTGCTTTTCACCTTAATGCACCGTTGTGCTTCATGCCTGCACTGCTTAAGACATTTCCTCAGCCTAAAGACTTCCATAATCAAGAGAATGTCATCTGCCCAGCCTATAAATCTCCCTAGCAGGTGTGTGTATGCTTCAGTAAGCATTTGATTTTTTAATACTGGTGATCTGTTCTAACTGCTGTCTTCTCTTCCTTGACACCTTGATACTG